GAACTCGCCATGTAATCAAATGGGAGGTGTTCATGTTGGCATAAGAGCGCTGCTCTCCGGGATCAGCGCTTGCGACCAAGCGGGATAGGAGGCGGCGAAAACCCTTTGATAGGTTTTCGCTGCTAAGTATCGCTGGTCCGTCTGCTCTTCACAGCTGGACACACTTCAGTGTGTTGAAAGTGTGAATAAAATATTGCTGAGAAAATGTATCATTTGTGTTTTTTGTAGGAAGTCAAATGTGTGACGAAAGGGACATAAATCACCGAATATGTTCGTTTTTAGAAGCAAATTTGGGCCGCCTAAAATTTGTACAACACTGTAAGTTTTGAGAGGGTTATGTTAGCATTCGTTTTTTCAAATGAAAGCAAAAATATCAAAAATAATTATGGTCTGTCTGTCGTGTATTTTGTTTTATTGTGTTGTGGGAAAACTAAATGTTAACTTAAATAGAGCACATTCATCATCTTTGAAGTGATAATGTATTATTCCGTAGTCCATTTTTGTAATGTAGACCTCAGAAGGTACCCCCATTATTTTGTATGCCATAACATCCCCTCACCCCCCAAAAAGACTGTTAATGAATTTGGGTAATTAGCAACCACAACACCTTATAAAACTTGAAAAGAATTTCTTGTAGTTTGTAAGACATTCGCCAGATTGATTGAGATATTTATCTTATGTGCTTGCTATCATGGAACTTTTCACAATGTGGTGCAGCTCCAAGGAAAGCATAATTTATATCAGAATTGTAAAATGACTTTTATTTTTTAAATGTTATTTAACAATTGTGGGTATTTTATCAGTGGATCAATTGAGAACAATGAAAAAAAAATGAGATGCCAGAAACTTTTTTTTAACTAGAAAATTTAATTGAAAGATAATTAATTTTACGCTGTTCGTTGCTTGGCTCGCAGCGCTGCTTTCATCGTTTATCGCAGCTCCAACATAAACGTACCCTTAGGAGGGAGAGCAATAATCCCGACTTCCACCATTGATAATCTTCACCACGAACGTGAATATTCTGCAGTGTATCGTGGAAAATTTATTGAGGGTGACTTCGGAATGATATGTAAAAAATGGTGAGGCTGACCAGTATAGGGAAGTTGATAAAAGAACTGACGATTTTCCGTACGAAACGTTCTTTCATAAAAATAAAATAACGGAGGCTTTGCTATTTCAAAGAAATAAAAGTGAAATCACTTTCGTATCCGTGGTCACAGAAGAAATTATTGCGAAATGTAGTGAGCGGCTGTGTCCGTGTGAAAGACCACGTTACAATGTTACATGATTTCCGGAATACTCCCGCCTCTATTTCCTCGAGGAATCACAGGACATTTTGCGTGAATAAGCTTTAGAACTTTTTCATTTTATCAACTTCAAATTTGGTGAATTGTATTCTTACAATTTTCCTGAAAGCGGCCCTTTTAAGAGGGATACATTAAGAAAAGTGTTATGAAAGGACTAGTCGGGGGTTGGTGAAACGGGTAGTGAGTTAAAAGAGTAAGATTTACATAAATATATGGGTTTTAATGTCCTTTTCAAGACACACTAGTTGTCATGGGGGGAAAAGAGTGGTCGCTTAATATGGGCAATTTTTCAGAACGTTTACTTTACAATGAAAGTGAACGCTTTACATTAAAACAATGTCACTGATTTTCATGTTGCCAGATAAGTTCCACTAACCATATGTTTTCATGAGTATGTCATTTTGTCACAATAAATCCAGACACTAGCAGATAATCATTTTCCTGTAGCTCTCATTATAGAAGCCTGTCACTCTATTTTACTACACCCGTAACAGCGCGCATTCACTCACAGAGAAACGCGCTCCCACTCGAACAGAAAGGATTGCAGGAAAAACGTATTTACATTCCTATGAAGGGATTTGTTGTCTATCAGTTGGAAACTGTTACATGAATATCGTTAGGCAAAGAAAGTGGAAATGATCAGACTTTAGCCTCACTACCCAAAAAGGAAGACAGAAAATGTGCTGTTTACTCACTGATTGATCTTATGAGACTAAGAGATGGAAGGGATGTCGATGATCGTAATTTAATTGGTGTATTAAAATAATTGGTTAATGGATATGAACCTCTACTTACTATTTTTTTACTTTTACTGTACTTTTTTACGAGCAGCGAATAAATAATTGTAATTTGAATATTACGTTTTCTTGTACTGATACGTTTGTTGTTGATCAAATCCTTTGCCACAGTTTAGGGGATTATCATGTCTAGTGATCGCACTTACGTGAGAAGTGCATTAATATGTATAGATTTAAACTTAACAGTACCAGAAATAGGATCATAATGTGATAAACCAACGCCTTTGATTTGACACAAAGTATTGTGTATCCTGTGACAAGTTTGCAGTTGATCGGAGCACCGACTACTTGTGAGTGAAACGTGGAGATCCGCAGGGAGAGTTGGGCAACGGGCGCAGAACGGGGTCCGATGAGGGGGAGGAGCAGAGAGTCTGTTTCAAATAATGCGACCACAACGCGGCACACATCCATGTTATTATCTGCTCGCGAGGTCATTTGCGGTCGCCAATTCTACGTGCACAGCCACCGCCAATGAAGCTACAAATTACCACAGAATTTCCAACGGCCCAGCATAAAAAGCTACCTGCGCCATAACCGCGTTTTATTTCCTGTCCCGCTCCGATTCTCGATATCGGCTCAGCGTTCACTCGCCGTCCGCCCGCCAACCCGCGCAGTTTGCAAGCTCGCGGACGTACGTGAACATTTTTTTTGTACATTTTTGTTATCCCCGTTTGTTTTCCGTTTTCATTACGAACGGTCGATGCGCCTGAGGAAAATGCCTGCCAGGCATTTCCCGTTGTGACAGGCTACGCGGACGTGATTTGCCGATGGGTCAGCAAGTCTCGCGAGTTTAACTTGAATTACGGCAGACGCGCGCTCTCGTGCCTTTAGCAGACAGCTATCTCGTTCTGTTGCAGTCAATGATATTAACGTCGAAACCCGGGAGAGCGACGTTCTGTGGTGAATTTTCCTTTCAAACTAGCACGCCACTAATAAACCTGTACAAATGATAATCCACGACGCCCATTGATCAGATTGACATAAATGACAAGATTGTTTAACATGTCTTAAGCAAGACATACGATGCTGCTACCCCTTTGCTTAAATATTATCGCTTGAATTACTGTATTTTAAAATATTCAACAAAAATATGCTCTACGTTCTATCAAATATTTAAGTTATCTAATATAGTAATTGAAATGCAATTTAAAGAGTTAAAGGAATTTTATATAATTTAAAACCACCGAATAAACTCCACACAACAACAACTAAAGTGACCGAATACTTTGCTTTAATTGTACAAAGTGTTAAAGCTTGAGTTAAAAAAGTTTTTTTATTTTATGATGGGCATGTATGAATATAAAGGTTAAGAGACAAATCAGCCAAAATCAAACAATGGCCCTTCTTATAGGAAGTTTTATTACATAATTTAAATTGTAAATTTAAAATGTCAATTAATACATTTTATAAAAATTTAAGTTGATAAATGTAGAATTATAACCTTGAGAAATTCTCTATTTTCAGAGATTAACATTTTTTGCCACAAGAAAGTGTCGATCAAGGTTTCGAAATACACTAATAGTAATTAAGCAAATTCAACCGCCTAAATATACGGTGCATTTAGTTTTTCTGGTTCCATGAAAGGGTCGTAAACAATAGTTTTATACTTATCAAGTAGAAAAATCGTCTGTACTATAATTTGAAATTGACACGCCCTAAATTATTGAATATACTCATATCATTTTTTGCTCATCATTAGGTTTCTTAGTGAAGCATTCTCGCTCAAGCATAGATTTAATTTACATAAACAATTCATTCAATTTTCAGAATTTTACGTTTTTATTTAAAAGTAACTATGTAACTGAAGTTCAAATTTATTTACTTTGATATTTTAAGTTCAAAAAATTTATTACCCAATATTTTAACCCAAAGTTTTCTGCAAACGACCAACATGAATTCTCCATCTAGTAGAACCTCGTAGGAATTTACGTAAACTAGAAACAACATGACAAAATCGCCATAGAACAAAATTTATTTTTAAAATATTATTTGGCAAAAATGCCTATTTTTGTACTTCAAACGAATAATTAGATCCCGTGATTGAGACACATGTTGAATTGGAAAAAAGTGGTACAGTATCAATCAATAAAATCTTATTTTATGTTGCGAGACACAGTTCATCAGGCACGATTTGCCGCCTGAAGACGCAAAGTTTTTCTACGCTCCTTTCCCTACCACCGGAAAAAGAAGGTATCAATTGGGGGACGAAACAGGCGAATTAAATTTAGCTCCTGTTTATTTTGACTTGCCCTTTTTACATGCAGTAAGTCTACAACATAGGACAGCCGTATTTATGTCCCCTTGGAACGAAGGTGTACGTAGGATTTTTTTACCTTTGAAAATCCACGGCTTCGATCGGGTTTGAAACCGCAAACGGGTATAACAGGCTAACTCGCTATCTTTCCACGTATGCTTACTGATATACATAACCGTTATACCAGCGGATGTCTGCAGGAATGGAACGAACTGAACCCGGAGGAAAATGGCCAAAGAAGTGCCTGTGTCCAGAGGAAGGTGCACCTTCGCTGAGCCTCTGTCAGGAGAGTTGCGTCCCTCCCATGGAGCCGGAGCCAGCAAGATACAAGGCAGACGGGCCGAGGCAGGAACCAGGCTGTGCCTGGAATCCACAAGTGATACAATTTGCTTTTCGGACTACGGACGGGCAGGCGGGTGGGCGGGGATTGGCGGACGCGGGGCGGGGCCCAAGAGAGGGGAAAACGTGGACGGGGCAAGACAGGTCGGGGTGGAGGGAGAGCGGGGGAAAAAGCGGCAACGCCTTGGCGAGCTGTTTGCGGGGGGGGGGGTGGGGGGCAACTGCAGCGCGCGTAGCGGGTGCGAGGTGAACGAGCCCAAATAAAGCACGCTCGCAGCCCGCAGCGCCGCCGGCGGCGGCGGCGGCGGCGACGTCGGGGAGAGCACTCTCCAGCTCGCTGAATTGCGAACAAACAAGCAATCCCACGGGACGTGCAAAACGCCTTTGTTTGCTTGCTTTTTTCTCTCGGCGCGTCTCAAATCAGGGAGCCAATGATCGGATTCCAGGCGGTCGGGCGGAATAGAACAGGCTTTACTTGCTTGCCGTTCTCCTCGCGAAACAAAATGTTCAAATATTCAGGGATATTTAAACAGTGAAGGTTTTGTTGCCCGTACTTACTTAAACGGAACTTATAGAATTTAAGTTCAAAATTAGTGCTAACTTCTGTTAGTAATGTAATGTAATGTAATGTAATGAGGCTACAGGTAAAGCTTCCAGCCGACTTGATATTAAAAAAAATCATTTAACGTTGATTATAGAGTGTACCCTTGTTCTATTTATACTTCATATTCATAACATGATCTATTGATATAGGTATTAAATGCCTTTTGTTAGTACAATTAGTATATGCTCTATTTTTGAATATGTACGATTTGCTTCAACATTCATTTTAAAATTCATCGCTCCAAAAATGTCTCTTCGCACTGAGCCTAATCAGGGTCTCCTATTAAAAATTACATTTACATTGCAGCCACCAGATCACTAGGAAGATGTGAAGAGGACAACACTTCCAGCATCTATTACGGTTGTGGTGAGTACACAATTTACATTTTCAAGCCGCAGCTCGTGCTACCAACATTAATTCTGTTAAACGCACTCTCGCCAGCAAGGGGTCACTGCGGAGGGACTTTCCTGGCCGGCAATGTTAGTTAATGTTATTTGTTGGAATAAAAACATCAACTTAAGAACATATTACAAATTAATTTGTTATTATGTTACATACAAATGTATCCTTACAAAATAACGCACTTGAACAAACTCAGATAATTCTCAAGTACTCGCGCCGTTTAACCTGTTTGTCTGAAATGAATTTCTATCAAGGAAAATACAGAACAAATGTCTTTCGTAGTGTTGCAAACAGAGCAACGTACGAGGTTCATGAAATCTCAACACTATTGTTTGTATACTTATGTCTCTTTTATTTTCGGCATGTGAGTCTACTGTTAGCTATTGGTGCTTTCATTTCAGTTTATTCAGATTATTATTATTTTATTTACAGAAATGTGTAGTTGGGAATTTCATTGAGCTCTGTACTCGTTTATTTAACTGTACCGGAAATAAAAATTAGAACACATCCCATTAGGGATTTTTACAACGTCCATGAAAGTTAGCAGTAAAACCGAATTGCTTCCAATGAGGGCACCATTCACATGTCATGTGAAAATTCACTTGTTCATACGTGAAATTTGAGCGCGGGCGTATGAAGATATCATGCTGCTTCTATTCACAAAATATTAGTGTTTGGTAATGATAGAAGTGTAATTACTCCAAACTGCAAGCACCGAATTAAATTTCAACTCAAACATTTCGCGTGTATCGGCAAACAAAACGTTGACTCTGACATTACAATTTTGAATAGTACCCTTGTCAGACGCATTATATTCCGTTGAAGAATGCCGGCAGTCTAAAAAAAACAGCCGGAAAAATTTGATTTTAAATATTTACCATTTCGTGTATAAAAACACAGTGTAAATGTGTAAGGGAAATGTTTTGATCAAGAGATATAATAAGTTATTATGTCATGGAAACAATGCTATGTTTTTACAATCTACATTTTAAAATTTTAGTATTGCTTCCATGAAATAATAAGGATATCTTTCTTAGTAGAAACAATAATAATACATTTTAATTCAATTAATCAGTATTTCTTACTACTTCATCTTATATAGTATATTCAATTTTTTGCACGATTGTTTCCAAGTTTGTAGTAGCATTGCAACCGAAAATTCTTTATGTATTTTCATAAGAGAGACACCATCGACACAAAACCTTATAAATCTGCCAGCACCAGGAAACGAATGAGTCCGTGGATGTGAAGAATCAAACAGACCAAAGAAATAGTAAAATTCTACAGAATTATACTACTATTAAGAAATCAGCAGGCGCACATACAACGCCACATCTTACGCCATTAAGCAGGATGTCTCACAATGAGGCCAACAAACGTGTAGGGCATGTAGAGCAGTTAAAAAGATCACGTTTTGCAAATGGAGATCAAGTGGGACATTTCAAGCAAAGGAGTTATGTATACGTCGTACGCCACTATTAAGAATTAATTGATTTGTAAGGTTGTCTGGATTAATGAAAAGAGAAAATGCTATAGGTATATGAAATAAATCTTACAATGTGAACTACAGCCGTACTATTCATTCTAATTAAAAGTAGTGGAGAATACAGTGCTGCAATTAATTATTGCAAAAACACGAGGCTAAATATCAATAATTAAAAAGATCGAAGTAGTGCTTCAAATACATAAATAATAAGAGCATTGTGAATATCAAAATTATTCTTTAATATACGTACGTGAACTTATAAATGAAAAATAAGATGGAAAGAGAGGAGACATTCTCAGACAGAAGGGAAAAGTAGAATATAATTTGACCGCTCACTGGAATTCGTCACCAGGCAGCGGCGGCTCTTGGTAAAATTCTGCACTAACAACAGCGGAGATGACGTGTTCAGTGGATAACCTCGATCAAGATCGGAATTCCTCGGAAGAAGGGTTGGAACTATAAGACGTCTACCAATATGGTGCGAGCAACGTATCTACCTCACTAGATCGCGAGGTAAAATAAGTTGTATTAATTGCCATCATATTAGAAGTAGAAAATGTAGAATATTTGTAATAGTTACTTACTAGTAATATCAACAAAAGAAAGTACAAAAATGCAATAAAGTGACTTTTGTTTCGTTTCGTTCGGATCTAGTTTAAATCAACCCTCAAACCATTGTGGAATTCTTTTACCATTCATTTGTTTTTCAACTGAGAGTTTGTGGTGTGGTAGAAGCTGCATGAGGTATAGAGAAATAAAAATAAAAAGGGACTGCTTTGACAGCTATTTCTTGGCCAATGCTGACAATATAACTGCAAATTACATTCGTGCACTCATTTTGTCAATGCGTTCGTTTACAGTTCGCTCATTTGTAAATGACTTCATCACTATCTCTCGTAATGTCATCGCCCTCCGTGACCCTAATTTGTTTCCCTACCTGTCAAAGTCGTCCCTTCTCAGAGTAACTTCTCCATAAGTGTCGTGACGTGCTGTGAAGTGTAGTGCAATAGAGAAGTAGTAAGGGAAGTGAAGTGCAAGTGTAGTGAAGTGAAGTGAAGTGTAGTAAAGTGAAGTAAAGTGTATTTATTAGTTAAAAATTCCGGGCAAGAGAGTCAGAAATTGTAGTTGTAATGCTCTTATTGTTATTATTGTTATATTATTGTTATTATTGTCTTAAAATGCTTTAAAATTCCAGTGTATTAGTCTTCTTAGTTGTAATATGTAAATTATAGTGTTCTTCCACCAGGTTGTATACCTACCGGCAGAAATTATAAATCTATCTATCTATCTATCTATCTATCTATCTATCTATCTATCTATCTATCTATCTATCTATCTAACTTGCGCGTGGTGAGAGTGACCTCCGGTCGGTGAGAGTACGACCGCGAGCGCAAGGTTACAGTAACTTATCGTGTACGATATAATTATTGTGCGATTTGTTTTGTGATCTAAAATATTTCGTTGAGTGCGCGATATTTCGATTCCTAGAGAAATCAAGTGATTCAAACATCTTGCTGTGCACCCTTGTCGCATCAAATCCAAATCCCCAGAAGATAGGTTTCGCTCCCCGTAAGTATATGATAAAATAAAATAAAACATTTAGCCTAATATTAAAGCATGCAAAGTTTACATAAACAGTAAACCAAGCCCATTCCAACCCAAAACCTTAAAACGGAGCAGCAATACCAAACTCAAAATGCCAGGGATGCCCATTCCTGTCAATGACTAATCAATTGTTTCCAAGCCTTTGAAAGGTCACATGACCGAACAAGACGAAAATAAATAAAAACAAACAAAACATTATCTTTTCTGGGGTGAGGGTTGCGAAACGCCGTTCAACTTGAACGAACAACGCAATTTTCGCACGTTTTCACTGCGAATCTTCCGAGCGGTTCTTCCCTCCTCCGCTCCATTCCTATCGTTCGATTGATTCCTTTGCAACGCGTCGATTCGCACGGTTCGGTAAAAACATTTGCTCACTGAACATACTGAGACTTTATTGCGCACTTTTGGAAACACTGAGCGCTTCGGAAGAGATTGCGGCCAACCGAATCGTCCGCGGAGAAAGAAATAGCGTCGCGTCTCTAGGAGCGGTCTGCGAAAAAAACAAATCGGCGAAACCTGGTGAGAATTGCTCGTAAATGTTCCTTGCGCTTCTGAATTTCCTTGATGTGCTCACCACTTCAAAATCATTCTATTTCAAATTCACTGAAATTCTTTATTTCACCCTTCGTTAATTTAAATTTTGAGTGTGTTTTTGTGAGTTTATTTCTCAAATTTTGTAAGCAACATATTCATTAAAAATTACTAAAAGGAAAATTTGATGGATACTTTCTGCTCAAATGTAGCTAGTCAGGGAAAGTAAAACAAGCAGCGTTCAATTTTACAAACTGGTGGAATCTGTAAAGATCTTTTCTTTCTTGAAACGGCACTTGAGAAAATGATATAAATGGTAATAATGGGAGTATTAGCAATTAGTAGATCAGTATTCCGACCGTAGGTATGAGCTTACGTATAGGAGCTGGCTATCCC